GTGTTCGATCAGGTTGGAGCTGTCCCTGAAGCTCTTCCCACATTCCCCACACGGGTAGGGCCGTTCCTCAGTGTGGATGTGCTGGTGTCGGATCAGGTGGGTGCTCTTCCTGAAGCTCTTCCCACATTCCAAGCACCTGAAGGGTTTCTCCCTGCTGGGAGGCTGTTCATTGACCACCAGGTCAGAGCTTCGCCTCAAGCTCCAGCCGCCTTCCCAGCACAGGCTGGCTCTTTCCTCCTCAGAGCACCCTGGGATGGCTTTGGAGCCCCTCCTGCGGGGGGATCTCCGGCCCTTTTCCTCCCCGTTGCCTTCCTGCGCCGGGGAGCCCTTCAAAACGGCCTCTCCCACCAGGGTCTCACGGGGGGAATTGTCCTCCGGGCTCTCCGTCCTCAGCTCGGGGTCTGGGGCAGGAAGCAAGAAGGACAGGGAGGGGATTTACCTCTGGCCCTCAGGGAAGGCCAAGGACATCCCCCCAACTCCGGCCCCGGCAGGACGGCGGCGGCAGCGGGGTTGTCCTGCAGCCGGGGCCATGCTCGGCTGACAGAGCCAGCACAACACCCGCCCAAAGGGCCACTGACTTCCTCCTCACCTGCCTGGGGGGCCCAAGGCATCTTCCTCTTCCTCGCAGCCTCCTCCTCCATCCGCCCAAGCTTTGGGAAGGACAAATCCTGATGGGGGAAAACAAGGGCTGAGTGCATTGGCTTGGGGGTTCCTCCTGCCCAAGTCCATCTCTAGAGCTCACTGGGCATCCCATGTCCATAAAAAGTTCCAACACACCAAGATTCAGCCCAGAAAAACCCAAAACACCTAGCTTCAGGCAAAAAACCCCTGAGAAATAGTGAGATGAAGTCTCCCTCCATAAACTGCAAAAAGTTAAGATTCAGCTAAAATATACTCCAAAATATGAAGATTAGCCCGCAAAACTCTTCTAGAAGTTCCCCCTCTCTGTCTCCCTCTGGGTTTCAGAGGGTCTCCCCTCTCTGCAATAATGGGGGTCCCACTTAGGAATGCTGGGGGTGCCAAGGGTACCTCCTCCTCTGCCTTACGCCTTCGGGGTGCTGCGTTCCCAGACATTCCCCCTCTCCAGGTTCTCCACTCTTGTCCTGGGGATTCCAGGGGTCCCCACTGTCCAGGCTTCCCCTTCTCGGTGCTTCCCTCTCCAGGCTCTTGGGGCTCTCACAGCTCCCCCCTCTCTCCAGCCTGCCCCATACTCCAGGGATCAAGGCATGGGGACACAGAGGGACTGCCACAGCAACCCCGCTCCCGCTCTCCCCCCTCCCTTTACCCCCCTCTCCCACCAGCCCCCAAACCCCGGCTCCCCCAGCTCCCTTTGAGGGTGACCCACTGCCCCTCAACCTCCCTTTGGGGGTTCCACCTGCTCTTTTCGCTTCTCTCACCCCTTTCCCATCGTGGCCTCTCCGCTCACCTGACAGCAGCAGGAAGGGCAGGGACAGGGGCGGAGCAGCAACAGCAGGAGAACAATCACCCTCCCCACATGGGTGCCTGGGAAGGAGGAACTCATCCCAGATATCCTGGGGAGAGTGCGGGCTGCCAGCACAGATTTCCCTGCAAAGTCTGCAGGGAGTCAAGCTCTGCAGAGGAGATTGTGCCCCATGCATGGGATTGCAGAGGCTCCCTCAGGTCACCAGCAGGAATCAGCAACCAGGAACAGACACAAAAGGCCCCCCATGAAGATTTCTGGGGGAGTGTCTTGTAGGGAGGGGACAGTGTCACCCCACCAGGGCAGGGCTGGCAAGTGGGAGGCTGCTCCAGGGCTCTGCAAGAGGCCTCGTGCTCTGCTCAGCCCCAGCACTGCCTGGTCCCAACACCCCCAGCTGCCCCCGGCCCTGGGCAGCTCTGCTGCCACAGGCTGTGCCCTCACCGTGGCCCTGCAATGGCCCTGCCTGTCCCTCACCCGTGGCCCTGCCCGTGGTCCTGTCCCTTGGCTCTCTCTCTGCCAGCTCAGTGTGGGACACACGGGATGGGGGTCCCTCCCAAGCCCCCCAGGCAGCCAGCGTTGGCTGGGGGGATGTGAGGGCTGGGCCTGCTCAGCACAGCCCCGGCCTCGTGCCCAGCGCCTCTTTCCTGACCCACACAAGACCTTCCAGACCTCCCAGGGCTCCCCTGCTGCTGCCTCTGCTCCTGGCCCTGCCTTTGCTGCTCCCTTGGCTGGGGCAGCGGCTGCAGGGGGGGATGGCAGCAGCTTCAGCTCCACGGCACTTCCTGGGGGGAGCTCAGCCCGGGGGGCACAGGCAGGGACCTGATGGGGCAGGGACAGCCAGGGCCTGCAGGGGAAGGCACAGGGACAACCTGGCCCCCCACACTGCCACCGCTGTCTCTGCTCCTCCTTGCAGGCTCCGTGGCCAGGCACAGTTTGTGTTCCTGGGTGCCCACCATCTCAGCACTTGGAGCCGCTCAAATCAGCGCCCGCAGCTCTGCAGCAAAGCCCCAGCTCACCTGGCACACAGGGAATGGACACAGCACCTGCTCGGGGATGGGCATGCACAGCTCTGTCTCTTCCCCACCACAGGGCTCTCCTTCCTCAGCAGCACCTCTGCCTTGCACTTATTCTCAGCCTCACCTCAGGGACAGCTCTGGCCTCACCTCCGCGCCACTTCTCAGCCTCACCTCAGGGACAGCTCTGGGCTCAAGGACAGGAACCTGCAGGGAGGGGACATCATGTGCAAGCTCAGGGCTGCCTGCTTGCACTGGCCTCTGGGCTTCTTTCTCCTTCTACAACCAGCCCAGAACTCAGCCTGCTTTTCTAACACCACCCATTTACACACTAACCTTGGACATAGATATGGACAGACACCTCTATCACCCTGGGGATAGAGCCTCAAGCATGTGCTCCCATAGGAATGGGAATCAGAGAATCACAGAATCAGCCACGTTGGAAAAGACCTCCAAGATCATCAAGTCCAGCCCTGGATCCAATCCCGTTGTGCTTCCCAGACCATGGCACTGATGCCACATCCACTCTCACCTTCAACACCTCTAGGGACGCTGAATCCACCCTGCCCAGCCCATTCCAAGGCCTGATGATTCTCTGGGGAAAAAATTGCTTCCCAATATCCAACCGAAACCTCCCCTGGCACAGCTCAAGACCCAGCCCTCTTGTCCTACTGCTGCTTCCTGGCACAACAGCCCCACCCCCACCTGGCTCCAACCTCCTGGCAGGGACTTGCAGACAGTCAGGAGGTCTCCCCTGAGCCTCCTCTTCTCCAGCCTCAACACCCCCAGCTCCCTCAGCCTCTCCTCACCCCACTTGTGCTCCACTCCCTTCCCCAGCCTCGCTGCTCTTCTCTGCACCTGCTCCAGCCCCTCCAGGGCCTTCCTCAACTCAGGGGCCCAGAGCTGGACACAGCACGCCAGGGGTGGCCTCACCAGCACTCAGTCCAGCCCAACAATCACTTCCCTGCTCCTGCTGCCACACTCTTCCTCACACAGGTCCCTCTGCAGAGCCCTCCTGCCTTCCAGTACATCAACACACCCAGCTTGGTGTCACCTGCACATTTGATGATGAAAGGCCTGGTTCTGCAGCAGCTGCAGATGCTCAAGGGGCAGCAGGACCAAGTCGGGGCCTGGGAGGGCCTGGGCGGGCTTTTGGGTCCAGGAGGGTCCTGAGGAGGGGCTTTGGGGATTGGGGGTACAAGCCAGGACAGACCAGTACAGACCAGTACCTCCTCAGTGCTCCCCAGATCTCTCCTGGAGCTGGGCCACCTTGTCGTGGGACACCTGAGCCCCCCCCCAGTGCTCTCCCAGTACAGCCCAGTGCCCCCAGTACAGTCCACTCTGTTCCTGTCCCAGGGTGCCAGGTGATCCCTCTTTGGGGGGGGTTGGGAGGGATTTGAAGGACGAGCTGGGAGAGATTTGGGGGGTTGGATGGGGATTTGGGGTGTTTTGGGGGCCTTGGGTGCATTTGGGAGAGTTAAAAGAATCTTGTGGGCATTGGAAGGTCAAAGGTATCTGGGGGGGAGGGGATTAAAAGAAAAAAAGAGGAGCTGGGGGACATTTGAGGAGGTTAATGGGGCCTAGAGGGGGAGAGGAGGGGCTTCCCTATAAGCAAGTCAGTCCTGAGACCCCCCTCATGTCCCCAAGACCCTTTTGGTGTTTCCAATTTCCCCCCTTTGACACCCCCAATTCCACTGTCCCCAAACCTCATCCCTTATATCCCCAACCCTCCATCTCACCCCAGGAGCCCCCTGGACCCTCTGACTCCAAAAACGCCCCCCCCCCCCCATGCTCACAGAAAGGCCAAGGGCATCTGGGGACATGCTGGGGACAGTTGGGGGGATTTGGGGGGCACTGGGTGATTACTGGGGCATACTGGGACACACTGGGGAGAAGCAGGGGGCACTGGGAGGGACTGGGGGGAACTGAGGGATGCTGGGAGGGCACTGGGAGGGACTGGAGAGTTACTGGGGGATCACCAGGACACATGGGGGGGACACTGGCAGGTTACTGGGCCATACTGGGGGTTACTGGGTGCTCACTGGAGCATCACTGGGCCATACTGGGGGGCAGTGGGACGTCACTGGGCTATACTGGGGGCACTGGGATCCCTTTACCTGGATCTGCTACACCTGCCCCCCGCACTTTGGGGGGGCACTCCCAGGACCCCTCCCCTGAGGGCTGGGAGATCCTCTGAACCCCATTGCTGGGCTTTAGGGGACCCTCGGGACCCCCTCCCTGTGGAGTCTCTGTATGCTGAGTTTTGGGGAGGTCCCATATGACTGGGGAGGTCCCATATGACTGGAAGTTGGCAAATATCACCCCAATCCATAAAAAAGGCTGCAAGGCTGACCCTGGTAACTACAGGCCTGTCAGCCTGACCTCGGTGCCTGGCAGAGTTATGGAGCAGATCATCCTGTGTGAAATCACACAGCAGCTACAGGATGGACAAGGGATCAGACCCAGCCAACATGGGTTTAGGAAGGGCAGATCCTGTTTGACCAACCTGATCTCCTTTTACGATCAGGTGACCCACCTGGTGGATGAGGGAAAGGCTGTGGATGTGGTCTATCTGGACTTCAGCAAAGCCTTTGACACTGTCTCCCATAGCATACTCCTGGAAAAGCTGGCAGCCCACGGCTTGGGCAGGGGCACTCTGTTCTGGGTCAGGAACTGGCTCAAGGGCCGGGCCCAGAGAGTGCTGGTGAACGGAGCTGCATCCAATTAGCGACCGGTCACCAGTGGTGTTCCCCAGGGGTCAGTGCTGGGCCCAGTCCTTTTTAACATCTTTATCGATGATTTAGATGAGGGGATTGAGTCCATCATCAGCAAATTTGCTGATGACACCAAATTGGGAGGGAGTGTCGACCTGCCGGAAGGCAGGAGGGCTCTGCAGAGGGATCTGGATAGACTGGAGAGATGGGCTGACTCCAATGGAATGAAGTTCAACAAGGCCAAGTGCCGGGTCCTGCACTTTGGCCACAACAACTCCTGCAGCGCTATAGGCTGGGCACAGAGTGGCTAGAGAGCAGCCAGGCGGAGAGGGACCTGGGGGTGCTGATCGACAGGAGGCTGAACATGAGCCAGCAGTGTGCTCAGGTGGCCAAGAAGGCCAATGGCATCCTGGCCTGCATCAAGAACAGTGTGGCCAGCAGGAGCAGGGAAGTGATCCTTCCCCTGTACTCTGCATTGGTGAGGCCACACCTGGAGTATTGTGTTCAGCTCTGGGCCCCTCAGTTCAGGAAGGATATTGAGGTGCTGGAGCGGGTCCAAAGAAGAGCAACGAGGCTGGTGAAGGGACTGGAACACAAGTCCTATGAGGAGAGGCTGAGAGAGCTGGGGTTGTTCAGTCTGGAGAAGAGAAGGCTTAGAGGCGACCTCATCACTCTCTTCAACTACCTGAAGGGAGGTTATAGCCAGGTGGGGGTTGGTCTCTTCTCCCAGGCAACCAACAATAGGACAAGGGGACATGGGCTCAAGCTCTGCCAGGGGAGGTTTAGGTTAGATGTTAGGAAGAAATTCTTTACAGAGAGGGTTATCAGGCATTGGAACGGCCTACCCAGAGAGGTGGTGGATTCACCATCCCTGGAGGTTTTTAAAAAGAGATTGGACGTGGCCCTTAGTGCCATGATATAGTAATTGGAGTTGGATCAGGGGTTGGACTTGATGATCTTGGAGGTCTTTTCCAACCCAATCTATTCTATGATTCTATGATTCTATGATTCTATGATTCTATGATTCTATGATTGGGGGCTCTGGTGTTCAGGGGGGGAATTGGGATCCCCTTTCCCTGGAGTCCGTCTGCCGACACAGAGACCCCATAAAATCCCCTCAAAACCCCTGAAATCCCCTCAGAAATCCACCTCTGGACCCATCCAAACCTCCTCAAGGACCCCACAAATCCCCTCAGAGACCTCATCCACCCCCAGGACCCCCTAAACCCTCTCAGTGACCTGCAAAACCCAACTGGGATCCCCAGGCCCTTTCAGGGATCCCAAAAACCCCCTCACGGACCCTCAAAACCGTCTGGGACTCCCAAAATCCCACTAGAAACCCACAAAACTGCTTCAAAGACCCCCCAAAAAGGCCCCCTCGGGACCTCCCAATTCCCTCAGAGACTCCAAAACTCCCTCAGGGATTCCCAAACCCATTCAGGGACCATCAACTCCCCCCCTTAAGTCCCCTCCGGACACTAAACCCCTTCAGAGACCCACCAAAACCTCCTCAGGGACCCCCCAGGGACCCCAAAACCACACAACAGCAGAAGAGCTTTCTGTAAAGGAAGAGAGCAGAAAATCTGAGAAGGAGGAGACCAAGGAAAAACTGAAGCAAAGCAATCAAATCATCCTGGCCCTTGCAGTTTTTCCTTCAACTTTTTCTCACTTCTCCTTCTTTTAAGGTTCTTTTTTTCGTTGGGTGGTTTTGATTTTTTTTTCCGAGGGACTTTCTCGGCAATCGAATCCAACACCCGGGTTCTTGGGAGGCCCCCGGGCACCGCGGCCCCAGAGACGGTTCCAAGGCCCTGCGCTCTGACCCTCGGGAATCCCCGAACCCCCCCCGCCAAACCCTCCAGAGCCCTCCAGCCTTTCCACCCACAGCCGCGTTCCCCGCAGCCCCCGAGGGGATCCCCAGAGCCCCGTTCTCCCGCACCCCCCGTCAGGTCTCACAAACAAAGGCAGGCGCCGCCGCCATCACCGATTCCCGGCAGCCAACACGGCGGGCTGGGCGCGCACCGCCTTTAGAAAACACCGCCGCAGCCAATCAGCGCGCGGCCGCGCCACGGCACGCACGTCACTCCGCCTGCGCACTGCGCGGGCAGCACGGGAGTTGTAGTCCTTGCGGTGGATCAGAGCGGCCCTTTCCATGTGAGTGGAGTGAGGATAATACTTTTTTGGGTTTATTGGTTTTCTGTCTTTTTTTTTTCTTATCTTTTCTCTTTCTTTTTTTCCTCTCCTTTTTTCTTTCTGCTTCCTTTTTTCCCCTTTTTTCTTTTTTTTCTTTCTCTTTTTCTTTTTTCTCTTTTTTCCTTCTTTTTTTTATTTGTCACATTTTTACCTGTTTTTTCTATCTTTTTTTCTCTTTTTTCTCCTTTTCCTCTTTTTCCTCCCTTTTTTACTTTGTATTGCCTTTTTCTTTTTCCTTTTTTTTACATTGTTTTCTATCTGTTGTATTTTCAAGGAAGATTTAAACACATATCAAACAATCTTCAGGTACAAATCTTTAGACAACAGATAATCTGATATTATTCCAGGTTCGTGAGGATTCCCAAGATCACAAACACTGAGACACGAAGGGTACCCACACAAAAAACAGCTTTCCCTTCTTTTTTCCACAGCTAAAGCAAGTGTGGAAGGGGCACTTGGCCCCAGGCAAGATGCTTTTACAGCCACTTTAAGCAGCCCAAAGTGGATCTGGCTGGCAAATGGGATTATGCCCATGCTTTCAAGGAGGATTTGCAGAGTACACTGAGGGGAAACATTGAGGGCCATTTCTTCATCTCCTGAAGGGATGAGAAGAGGGGGGAGCAGGTGCTGTGGCCCCAGAGCTTCTCTCTGCTTTGGGTGCAGAAGCTCTGTGTTTTCCTCTGTCCATTGAATTTCCCACAAAGAAGGAAAAAGCTACAGGAACTCCACTCTGGAGTGGTCAGGACATGTGGAAGCAGGGGAATTTTTCTTCCCAGCTGGGATTGAGAGTGCAATTTCACACTCCTTTGGAGAGCATTAACTAAGACATCCCATTTCTGCCCAGGGATCTTCCAGGAGGAACTCAATCCGGGCTCTGGGCAGGTCCCTGCAGGGGCAGCAGCTTCCTCTGCACGTTTGAGGGGATAAAGCTGCTCTAAACCTGCACTCCAACTACTCCACAGCAATTGATGACCTCTGAGGACAGTTCCTCACTCTTTCCACCCCAGCAGAGACCTGAACACATCCTGTGGGCACTGTGTGACCACCCCTGGCATTAACACCCTGCAGGAATGAAGACACTGACTGTAAAGACACCTGTCTACCTGTAAACCTCAACTTTCTTTGCTACTATACAGCAATAACATTTTCTATTCATATTGCAGCTACGGACTTAATAAATAGAATTGCATATATTGTGCTTTAGAAATTAAAATGCACTCCAAAGTCAGGCAATGCTAAACAATGAAGTCTTGAAACCTCCCCCCCAAACCAGCCCCACTTTCTGGTTTCACAACCAGCCCGCTTCCTCACTCTCTTCACAAAGGGAGAAACTCTCTCTTTCCACCTCTGAAACAAAAATTCCCTCCCCAAAAGTGATCAGAAAGAGTCTACTTAGGCACTACTGCAAATGGAAGTTGTCTAATAACCATTCCTTCTAACTCAGAAAGGGGAGGAGATGAAGAAAGTCACAACAAATGTTTGGATTCCTTCCTCTTCAACGACTTCTCTTCCCTATCTGACGTTCTGGGATGTGTGCAGGGGGTTCAGCATCTCTTCAAAGATGGCTCCTTTCACATCAGAGCCCCTCAAATTGGCTTCCTGGAGGTCACAACCTGATAGGTCCCAATTGGGAAGGGGAAAAGAAAAAGAAGTGTCAATGGAATGCACCCAGAACTCTGTTCAAAGCTTTACTTGAAGTCCATTTACCTGAACTCCATTGTACTCTGAAGCTGGAGAGCTCAGCCAAAAGCCAGCAATCCCCCAAATTACCAGTTGACTATAGGAGAGAAAGGAATAGGATGGAAAATGAATCCCAACTCACTTCCAAATAAGTTCCTGCCAACGTTGCTCCCCCGAGGTTACAGTTCTTTAGTTTGGTGTTTCTCAGCGTTGCAACTCGGAGGTTCATTCCTGTCATCTGACTGCCCTCCATGGCCACTCCTTTCAGGTTGGCACCTGGAACACACACAGAAAGGAGTTCTGTGAGGAAAAACAGTCAGAAACACAGCAGCTGCACACTGGGGCTGCCTCAGAGCTGTGTGAATTGGAGGAGGATTTCGGGCTGAGATGGTCACAGACTCAAGGCAGCCCTTGTGGGCCATTCTCAGGGTTGGACAAACCACAGCTGGACCTTCTCTGGGCCATAGAGATGCACAAACACAGGCTTCAGTTGGCACAGATTGACAAGGCAAAAGCTTCTTACCTTCCAGATTAGCTTGAAGGCCTGATGGCTCCTCAGAGTTGCAGCCTTTCAGGGACGCTCCCTCTGCGTTGGAGCGCAGCATCTTCACCCCTGGCAGGTTGGCACCCTGGTACAGACAGGAGTCACTGAGAGCCAGAAGAACAACACCAAAGACAATCAAGAAGACACTTTTAATTTCTGCTCTGGGAGTCAATCCCATTAAATCATTACTCTGAGGAAGTGTAAAAGCTTTGGGAATCAGAACAACTGTAGATCCTCCCTTTGGATTCCCATTAACTCAGTGCAGGTGCAGAGTGACTCCACTTGTTCCCACACTCTCTCACCCCTTCCACATCATACCCCACTCCCCAGCCCCCTCATGCTCAGTTTGGGGGTCCCACCTTCCCCCCTTCCCCAATCTTCTGATCTCTCCCACCCATTTCCCATCATCCCCCAAACCTCAGATCCCTCCCCCTCCACTTTTGGGGCTCCCACTCCCCTCCCACTCAGTTTGGGGTCCCACCACCCCTTTATCCCCTCTGACACCCCTTTTCCCACCAACCTCCCCCTTCCCACCCCCCACTCACCCGAGAGCTCCTCACCTGCAGCGGAGGGGGCTCCCAGTACCACCAGTGCCCAGAGAAGTCCCCCCAGAAAAGGGGTTGGGTGGATTCCTGGGGGGGGGGGGGGGGGGTTTGAGTGGGTTTAGGGGGCGCTTGGAGGGCTATGGGGATCCCAGTATGATCCAAATATGATTGCAGTTCCCCCTGCATGGTCCCAGTTGCTCCCAGTTGCCTCCAGCAGAGACCCTGTCAATCCAAGTATGATCCCAGTCTTCTTCCAGCATGGTCCCAGTCAATCCCAGTTGCCCCACTGCAGATCCAGTCACTCCCAGTTGCCCTCTTTATGGTCCAAGTTGCTTCCAGTATGATCCCAGGATGAGTCCAGTCACCCCCAATATGATCCCAGGATGACCCCAGCACAGGCCCACCTGTTCCCAGTATGATCCCATTTGCCCCATTGTGGTTCCAGTTGCTCCCCTTCACCCCTGCTATGACTCCAGTAGCTCCCCGTATGATCCTTATCACTCCCAGTCTCTTCCAGTATGTCCTAGTTGACCTCAGCATGCTCCCAGTCACTACCAGTATGCTCCCAGTTAGTCCCAGTATGATCCCAGTCACTCCTGGTCTCT